GCCACTGCACTCCAGTGTGGGCGACGGAGTGACACTCCAACTCAAAAAAAAAGATGAGAGGTAGGAAAAGATCCAAAATGGAAAAAAAAAGATACAAAAGAGAAAAAAGGGATCAGACTGGGAGTCTTGAAAGATTATTTTCCTGTGTTGTTCACGGCTTAACCTTTTACAATTTAAAAAAAAAATATTTTAAAATCAGAGTCTCAGTCTGTTGCCCAGGCTAGAGTGCAGTGGCACGTTCATGGCTACCACGGCCTCAACCTGCTGGGCTCAGGCCATCCTTCTGCCTCAGCCTTCCAAGTAGCTGGAACCACAGGCATGTGCCACCAAGCCTGGCTAATTTTTTATTTACTGTAAAGGCAAGGTCTCACCAAGTTGCTCAGGCTGGCCTCGAATCCCTGGGCTCAGGCAACCCTCTTGCCTCTGCCTTCCAAAGTGCTGGAATTATAGGCATGAGCCACCGCGCCTGATAGCTCTATTTGTCTCTGATTAGACTTCTTAGGTAATTAAATAAGAGTGAGCAGTATTGTGAGAAGATAAATTCTTATTGTGAACATCATTCTATTATTCTTTAAGATAATCCTACCTCCATTTCTGAAAGACTAGAAAAAAGAAACCACTGGTATAAAAATATCCAAAATAGGCTACTTTAAGAAAAATAAAATTCAAGTACCTGGGTTTGCTGCTGTAGTTGATTTTTCCTGTTTCAGGTCCATGTGCCCTGAAGTTAACATCAGTGTTTTTAGTCACAGAGTTTAGGACCAGGAGCAAATAATAGGAAACCGCCTTGAGACTGGCACTTGGGGATCAAAGTTTGTATTTGCATTCTGTCACTCTTTTTCCAATGAACTTGAATATCTTTTCATGATATAACAATCTCAAAAGCTGAAAATGACAGATTCCAAACTTTATACTATACAGATAAAGTGTAAGATTTCCACTTCTCAGATTTCCATGATTCATAGAGATCAGTTGAGAAGAGGCTACACAGGTTAACCAATCAACCAACATTACTTCTCATTAAAAACTATTTATTTACATATATAGTTCCAGGTTCAATCTTATCCCAGACTCTAGACTGATGAAATTGTGCAGACTCCTCATCTGTGCTGCTTAAGGATTTCATCCGTAGCCCTCAGCTCTCTATTCTTTGTAGTCTGCCTCTTATCAAAAGGTTTCCAGCAACATAATTCAAATCTAAATTCTCATTAGCTGGCTTCAAGAAACTATTTGCAAGAGACTCAAGGGTCATTTCACATCAGTTTTCTCTACTGAGACACTTAAATCCTGGCTCTCCTCTTAGCAGCTCTGTGGCCTTAGGCAAGTCAGGTTGGCTCTCTGAGCCATTGGTAAAATTTGGATATTCCCATCCACCTGGTAAGGACACTATCAGAGTAAGGATCAGACATGTTTGTCAACAACCAAAGACATGGCATGGTACATGGTAGGTGTCATAGAAACAATAGCATTACAACTGCACCCTCATGTCTCATCTGACAAGCAACTCTAGTCTCTCAGTGCTTCATAAAAGTTTTTAAAATGCTGGTATATATGTAAATAAGCTGATGGGGACTTGAAGTATATAGATATAGATATCCATTTAGCTAATTAACAATAGATTTATGCTATCAAATTACCAACAGTTTAAGTTTGCATGGGTATTTCTTACCTTAAATTTACATAACTGGAATCACAATCTTTTACCTCTGGCTTTTATGAATCGACCAGAATTTGTCAAGCACCTACCAGATACTCAGCATCAGGGAGAGTGCTGTGATAATGAATTCTTATTAGTGTAGAAGATTAAACATTAGATTCAAACACTGGTAGTAAGAGTGAGCTATCCTTTCCTGTTGGTAATCCTCAATTTCTAGGATAGTGAAATAACCAAGCCCTACTGAACACTCTCTCAACAGTAATCTGTTAGTAATATTAGAAGGCTATCAATATGTGTTAAGGACAATTATTTAAATGGTTCATTTTCCCTGTTTTATTAACACAATCACTATAACTTCAATCTCGGTGTTTAATTTTCCCCAACAGTTTAGCTATTTCCAAGAAAAACAATCATTTGAAGGCTGGCATTGCTGATAACAAAACATAACTCTCTTGTATTAGCTTCTCTTTACCAGATAGTTTTAGTAAAAACAGAACCCCAAAACTTTCTTCCTGGTTCCTACTTGCATCCCTTAATACGGCAAAAGCCTTGGTTTTTGCATGTCACAATTGTCAAATTGTCAAACTTACTTCGAGCAACGAGCAGTGGGCAAGCCCAAAGAACCCCAGAATTGCCCAAGTTACACTAAACACAGTATAAACACAGTATAAGCATAGATACAGGTGACTTTCATGTTTCTCAAATTCTTTTCTTCCAGAACACCTGAGGGTTACACAGCCAACACTTTTACTTAAAAAAAAAAAAAAAAAAATTAAAATAACTGTAGTCAGGGCAAGAAAAGGAAAACAGTATCTTTATTGTGTGTCGTTCTAACAAACATTTCACTGTGTGCGCATTCCAGCAGAAAGAGACAAAGATCTTTGTTCAAAATATGCTGAAATAAAATAGGTAAACAAACCCCATTATTGAATACACAAAAGGAATGCTAATATTACTTGTTCACAGTCAAGGGTGAAGTAAAAATAAAGGAAGCTAAATAATAGAAATAATGGTTTGCCCAAATAGCAAATGTAGGATACAGGCATGAGCAAAGAGCAGCTACTGAAACTCATGAGTAAGATGCTGGATTCAGGGTAGGTAACTTGACAATACTTCTCTGGTTCTTTGGAACCTCCCTCCTTGACCACCCCCACAAATTCCAAACCTGGCTCTTTCAGAGCACAACAGCCAAATGTGACTAAACTCCCCAGTACTTCTGTGATATTTGGCAACAGAATGAGATTGTTAAAAAAGAAAATCAATTTCTTGTTGAGACAAGACATGTCTGAATCCATTTCTCCTGGGGTAGGAAATGTTCTGCATTTCAACCTCCCAAAATGGAATTTAAACAGATAGATATCACTTGAGATTTTAAAGCATGAGCTACCATAAGTAATGATATGTCTGGCCTGTAAAGCACTTTTCATTGCACCACATCGGAACTAAATGAGTATAAATGCAACAGTGTTCTTATTTCACAACATATGCATTTATGACATCTGCTAAAAGAACTTGACAGGCTCAAATGATAGCTTTAAACGGATTTTGTTTTTGCTTAAGAGGTCACAAGGAGATCCAAACACAATATAAACTTTGACCCTACCACTTTCCTATCTGTACAAACGTAGAAATCATTTGGAAACTAAAACCAATTCCTAGAGTCAGGGGTTAGGTCATTTCGGAGAATGGGCACCAACATCTATTTTGGTGGCACAAAATTTCCCTCACCTCCTCCTTCTGTGTTCACCAGCCATTGTGCTGCATAGTACGGTTTCAGCACTAGTCCTCCTCAGCAATAAACAACCAAGCACCCCAGAGACCAGCTCCAGGGACGCTGTCAGCCAACTGGGGACTGGCTCCACTTGCTCTCCAGAGGGGCTTTCACAACCTACCCATGTCAAGACTGTTTCAAGAATTCAAGTCTACTTCTTAAACAAAGTCCTTTTTGATGGATTTGGCTAGCGTACTGTATTACATTATTGTTCAGAAAAACCTCTCCAAAGGCTCACACAAAATCTACCTTTCACCTGGCTGTTTTTGTAGGCAGCAGAATAATAGTAAATGGACCCAAGAGTGGTTTTCACAATACAAGTGACATCACATTAACAGTAGTTCAAAAGAAGCCCTGGGTTCTGGATGGATTTCATGGATGGTAAAGATGAAGTCTGAAAATCTTTTCCCTCTGGCTCTTAGTAAAAAACAAGTCCAGATATAAATAGGAAAAGAAAACCAACATGAAATAGAAAAACATGCTTTTTGCACTGTTGTTTACCCTAAAACTATCAAAAACACCCATTTTACTTAAGACTATAGCTCTTTAACATTTCTTATAAGCCAGATGTTTCTCATTAGTTCTGGAGCCAGCCAGCACACTTTTACAATTGAATCCAGTTATCTTCTGGTTTAATTTTAGTGTGACTATTCCCTTTCTATAGTCTCAATACTCCTTTGTTCTTTACTTCGACTCCAAGGTACTCCACATAATCATGCAACATATTTATTACAGCAATTATACACCAATCTTTACTCAAGGAACCCTTCCTTGCCTTTTATATGGAGAAGTATCAAGTCACACTTTTGTGACATAATTTTTTTTTCAATAGTCTTGAAGTGGTATCTTATAACACATACAAACGTTTTTGAAAGATAAAAGTTTTACAAAACCTATATCCCTGATAATAGTAAAAGTCAGCCAGAAATCTCCTAAAATTACTCCAAAATATATCCAAGTGTGCAGATACAAGGTTAATATTATTTTGGTGAACTCTGAATTCACTCAACTGCTAAATCACAGGATACAAGACCTGGGTTGAACTTTTTCTTAAATAGTGTGCATGGGCAAACACTGGTTTGCTGGGCAGTTTCCTGTCTCGTCAGGTCTCTGGCAAGCTGGAAGGGAGGGAGGAGATACCGAGCAGCATCTATGGTCCTTCTTGAACTAAGCTGCTCTCTGCTGGATATGACAATGGCTCAGAAGCAGACTGGTAACCCTCAAAGGATGAGGAGAAAAATCACCACAGCTGCTGGCAGAAAACAGTCAGTGTACTGTTTCCTCAGGTGCTTCCACAGGGGGAAAAAAAGTCCAAACTGCCAGAGAGATCACTGAATCAATAACAGTAGTGTAGTTCTAAAGAATAACCTACTTCTCAAGGAACACACATCCAAGAAAAAAACTATCAGTTTTTTTATTCTCAACAGAAAAACAAAACAAAACCACAAGTTGGAGCCACGGAGGTAAAATACAGATGAAATGGAAAAAAAATCTCCTGTCACGATCTCTCACATTCAAATACCATTTTATATGGATCTTATTTTACTGGGGCAAACAGAAAGTCAAATTTGTCAAAATCTTATTTTTTAAAAATGTGGAATAAAAATTTACTAATCAATAAACAAAAAAGAGGGAAAATCCTGGGTAAAGCACTTCAGACATAATCATACAATTAGATTTTACCAATAAAAGACAGCTGTGATGGGGGGAGGAAAAGTGGCTAGAAACTGGCGCCAAAGTGAAAGCTTTGGTGCTTTTTCTAAACTCCTATCCTAAAGTAGTATTTTTCAATATTTTTTAAAAGAAAGATTACTCTGAATTCACCAGGTTTCTGACATTCCTATTCATTCCTTCCTGTCCTTATTTCTTTCCATCCCCAAGAAGTAAAAGGGAAACTTAGTTTTGTCCAGCACCACTTGGGAAGGAAAGGGGCTGGACTTAGGGAGTGGGAAGAGCCACTAGCTTGGAGGGAGGCGATGACCACACAGTTCTTTGTAGGTTTACCACATACAAACAAGGAACAAACATCATTTGGCAGTTATGTTTTAAGTAATGGGTACATAACTTTATGAATTAAATTCCTTATGATAACAGAATTAAGTCAGAACTTTTAAAATAACTTAAAAGAAAAATGGAAAACAAAAGGCTTCAACACTAGATCACACCCTGATAAGAATGTCTAATGTGCATTCAAAGCATTGGAAAGCTAGCATTTTTACCAAAGATCAATGTCACTACAACATACGAACTGCAGTGATGAATAAAGGTTTGAAATGTAAGGGTATTCATGGAAACCAGCAGAAGAAACACTGGCAAGGACACAGAACAGTGAGCAGGTGCTTTGGGAGTAAGGCTCTGAGAGTGAAGGACACTGGTCCCAGATCTGAGGTGGATGTCTGGTCAATCATCTTGGCTCCAAGGGGGAAGAATACAACTGGCAGGATTTGAGGAGAGGGTACTGCTGCAGCCCCCAAGCAAGTCTCTAGTTTTCACTCCCAAGTGGATGTGCTTTTCAGACGTCAACCAGATGTCCTCAGGAGGATTTGCTTTCCGACGTGTAATAACGGTACAGGAAGCCTAAGAGAATAGCACCCACGATGGGGAAAATCCAATACGCCCAGCAGCTAGAAGTAGGGAGGAAAAAGCAATATAAATGTGACTATTTTATACCATATGTTTGCTGTCTTTCAGCTTTCACATGTTAATAAATTTATATGAGCAAGAAGTTTTGACTTACTTTGGGAAATTTAACTGCTTTTATCACATAGCAGTTGGAAAAAAATTTGAATTGGAGCGACAATATTAAAAAGTAGTTTTTAAGAGAGGTTAAAAACAATTAATAGTATGCTACCAAATAAGATATATACACACCTCAGTGTGTTTCTACAAAGATATACAGTGGTTATGGGATTATAGATAGTTTCACATTTTCACATATTCTACAATTATCTTTTCTTTTTGAGACAGGGTCTTATTCTGTTGCCTAGGCTGGGGAGCAGTGGCACAATCCTAGCTCACAGCAACCTTGACCTCCTGGACTCAGCCTCTCCAACAGATGGGACTATTGGTGCACACCACCATACTCAGCTAGTTTTTTTAATTTTTTGCAGAGACAAGGTCTTGCTATGTTGCTCAGGGTGGTCTTGAACTCCTGGGCTCAAGTGATTCTCCTGCCTCGATCTCCCAAAGTGTTGGGATTACAAGCATGAGCCACCATGCCTGGCCTACAATTAATATTTTTAAACAGGAAAGGACACCACTATATAAGTGCCATTTCATATATGTATAAAAGTATACATCCATCCCATTATAAATTTAGAAGCAGGCTGGTTACAGTGGTTCATGCCTGTAATCCCAGCACTTGGGGAAGTTGAGGCAAGAGGACTGCCTGACCCTAGGGGTTCAAGACCAGCCCGGGCAACTTGGTGAGACCTCATCTCTACAATAAATCAAAAAATTAGCTAGGCATGGTGGGACACATCTGTGGTTCCAGCTACTTGGAAGGCTGAGGTGGAAGGATCACCTGAGCCCAGCAGGTCAAGGTTGTGGTGGCCGTCAGAGTGCCATTGCACTCCAATCTGGGAGACAGAGTGAGACTTCGACTCAAAAAAAAAAAATTAGAAGCAATAATATCAAATATAACTATCAGCAATATTCTATCTGCTTCACATGTATTTTAAAAATTTAATCCTCACAACAACCAATGAAATAGGTACTACTACTATTATTCTTATGTCCTACATAGGAAATATAAGCTTTGCCCCTCAAAGTACACTAGTAGTCAAGGAGTCACACAATCTGAATCCAAACCCAACCTCTTAATATCCAGTTAAGTTTGGACACTAGTAAGGATACACAAGGATACACAAACACCCAGAGCATATAGATAGTTCTAATGGAGTTAAGCAAATGGCAGTTGCCTTCAAAAGTCCGGCAAGCGGCGCTTGAGCGGACGCTGCACTATTCAGTGCCAGGGCCCCACCGAGGTTCTCTGGGCTGCTCAGCAGTACCTCGGCAGCAGCTTGGAGAGCGGCAACATTACCCCTCCGGTGCCATTCATTGAGGAAAGAAAGTGCTTCTCAAGGAGGAAAGTCTGAACCCATCCAACAGTCCCTCAGGAGCCAACATTACCAGAAGGTGGTTTTGATACACCTGAAGATTCCCACTTGGAGAAAGAACCACTGGGAAAATGTCCAGATGATGTTAATCCAGTTACCAAAGAAAAAGGTGGACTCAGGGGTCCCGAACCTACCTGATAAGAAGATTGGGAATGAAAAGGACACTGTATTGATTTTTTTTTTTTTTTAGTTGGAGTCTCACTCTGTCGCCCAGGCTGGAGGGCAGTGGCACACTCATGGCCAACCCAGTATGGAGAGAAGACCTGCTGGGCTCCAGCGATCCTGACACCTCAGCCTTGCAAGTAGCTGGAACTACAGGCGCGTGCTACCACGCCCGGGTAATTTTGATTTATTGTAGAGACGAGGTCTTGCCAAGTTGTCTGTGAGGGTCTCGAACCCGTGGACTCAGGCAATCCACTCGCCTCGGCCTCCCAAAGTGCTGGGATTACAGGCTGAGCCACTGAGCCCAGCCTATTTTTAAATTGCATATTCTTTAACCTCAGTATCATTTTCTGAATATATACATCTGAGTTAACTATTTCTGATTGTTTTTTTCCTTTATATCCTTTAAGTCATGTAATTTCCATAATGTGTTTAAAATATATGTATGGTGACTTTGGAAGAATATATGCTGCTATTATATAAATTAGAAAGGGGAAAATATTTTTAGCACATATTAACTGTATAGGAGTATATAAATGATGATTAGAGCTGTAAACCTTCATCACTTTTCAGTTTAATCAGTTGCTTATAAAATGCACATGTGAATAAAAATAATTTTTTTATTTTTGAGTTGGAGTCTCACTCTGTCGCCCAGGCTGGAATGCAGTGCCACGCTCACAGTCACCCGGGTGTGGACCTGCTGGACTCAGGTGATCCTTCAGCCTCAGCCTTCCAAGTAGCCGAAACTACAGGCATGCGATGCCACACCTGGCTAATTTTTTGATTTATTGTAGAGATGAGGTCTCGCCAAGTTGCCCAGGCTGTTCTAGAATATGTGGGCTCAGGCAATTCCCTCACCTCAGCCTCCCAAAGTGCTGGGATTATAGGCTTGAGCCACCAAGTCAGGCCAAAATTTTTTTTATGAAATTTTTTTTTTTTTTTTTTTTGAGTTGGAGTCTCACTCTGTCACCCAGGCTGGAGTGCAGTGGCATGATCACAGCCACTACAGCCTCGACCTGCTGGGCTTCAGGCTATCCTTCCACCTCAGCCTTCCAATTAGCTGGAACTATAGGCATGCGTCACCATGCCCGGCTAATTTTTTGATTTATTGTAGAAATGAGGTCTCACCAAGTTGCCCAGGCTGGTCTAGAGTCCATGGGCTCAGGCAATCCTCTCACCTTGGCCTCCCAAAGTGCCGGGATTATAGGCATGAGCCACCGCAACTGGCCAAGAAACAGACTTTCCTTAGAAGTTTTGGAACAGTAATCATTCTCCTTAAAAATAATTCTTTTTAATAGCGCTTATTGCACACAAATTTTAAGATATAATTCTTCTATGCTCCAAATGACCTGGGTACCCTTCTACTTAAGACATATGCAGTCTTGGTATTAAAAGGTTTGGAGGCCAATAAAACCAGCTGAGGTTCATAATAAAAATGATTTTCTTTGCCTAAACATGCCTAGAACTTTGCATGCTTAAGTAAGCAGTAAGCTACTCTGGACAAGTTTAGAATGTCAGTCAGGTAGCTTTGTTTAAAAAAACAAACCCAAGATGGTAAGCAAGATGGCACATTACTTTGACGTAATCTCCTCATGAAGAGTAATGAGTTCGGATTTTTTTGAAAAGCAACCACAAGACTAAAGAATGCAAAAGTAGGATCCCTGAGAAAACACTGAAGAAGAAAACTTCTTCAGTACAAAAGACTGAGAATGGTTGGCCACCAATCCTCATAATCTTTCCTAATAACACTTAACTGCCAGTGGAGCAAGAACTAGACAAAACACATTTATACTGTACCACGTATAGGAGATAGGAGATTTAGGTTCAACAATAACTGCTTGCCATAAGACAGAGCTTTTTTTTTAGAGGTTCATCCAGGTTACAGATTGTTGATGATTCATTTATTTTTATTGCTTTTTAGCTTTCCACTGTATGAACACGCCACAATTTATTAGAGTTGTTTCCAATGTTTGAATATCTTTTTTTTTTTTTTTTGAGTTGGGAGTCTCACTCTGTCACCCAGACTGGAGTGCAGTGGCCGCCCCTGGCCACCGCAGCCTCGACCTGCTGAGCTCCGGCGATCCTTTCACCTCAGCCTTCTGAGTAGCCGGAATTACAGGCATGCGCTACCACGCCTGGATGATTTTTTGATTTATTGTAGAGATGAGGTCTCGCTGCCCAGGCAGGTTTTGAACCCGTGGGCTCAGGCAATCCACTCACCTCAGCCTCCCAAAGGCGCGGGATTACAGGCTGAGCAACTGAGCCCGGCTGAATATCTTGAATAATGCTGCTAAGTACATATTTCCTGGTATATTTGTGCTCACATTACTATCAAGCATATCCCTAGAAATGGAATTGCTAGGTCAAAAGTTATTCATACTGTCAAAATTTACTGGACAATGCCAAATTATTTTCCAAAGTGATTATAACCATTCACTCTAGGAGTGCTTAGGGGTCTTGGTGATCCACTTCCTAACCAACTCTTCTCATTTGCAGAGCTTTTAGTGTTTGCCAATCTGGTAGGTATGAAATATACCTATAATTTTAATTCATATTTCTCTGATGATTAGTGAAATTAAACCTTTTTTGTATATTCTTATATAGGTGTTTCCTCTTCTGTAAAGTGCTTAAATCTTTTTCTCATATTCCACTGAGTTGTTTTTTAAAAATTGAGGCTGGGCTCGGTGGCTCAGCCTGTAATCCCAGTACTTTGGGAGGCTGAGGTGAGTGAATTGCCTGAGCCCGCGGGTTCGAGACCTGCCTGGGCAACTTGGCGAGACCTCATCTCTACAATAAATCAAAAAAATGAGCCGGGCATGGTAGCACGCGCCTGTAGTTCCAGCTACTTGGAAGGCTGAGGCGGAAGGATCGCCGGAGCCCAGCGGGTCGAGGCTGCTGTGGCTGGGAGCGGCCACTGCACTCCAGTCTGGGTGACAGAGTGAGACTCCAACTCAAAAAAAAAAAAAAATTGATTTGTAGGAATTCTTTATATACTCTAATAATTCTTAATCAGTTTTATGCTTACTTTAGCATAAGCCTATTGCAATTCTGTGCCTTATATTTTCAAATTCTTTATGCAGCATTTAATGATCATAAGTCCTTAGTATTAAAGAAATGGAAATTATTAAAGTTTACACTTTTTAAAACTCTGCCCATTTCCTCAAATAAAAGACCTGATATTTTATGGGGGGAAAAAAAAAGACATATTTTCTCTTTTTCTCTGAAATACTTTAAGTGAGATGTCTAAAAAATAGAACAGCTAGCTCTACATAATCTCTACAAAGGTTTATATTTACAAACCAAAGATTCCACAGTTATCTTAAGTAGAGGCACTTAAATGGTGGTAAATTATACCTTTCAGAGCTAATACTACTCAATTACCAATATAATTGCAAAAGATACATTGAAAGTAAGCCTCTGAGAAAACCCAAATTTATAAATATGACTGTAATAATTTTTTTCTTCTGTGAAATGCAATAATAGCATCTGCCTTATAGACTGGTTGTAAGGAATAAATGAGATTAAGTTTTAAGTGGAATCACATAGTTGGGCTGAGCTGCTGCAGAGACTGAGGTCTTGACTTAAGTAGTTACCTCTCTGTGCATATTGGCCTCTTACTCAGTATGATTCCAATTTATATCACAACAAGATTTAAAAATTACTCAAGGGCCAGGCAGAGTGGCTCACACTTATAATCCCAGCATTTTGGGAGGCCAAGGTGGGAGGACTGCTTGAGCCCAGGAGTTCAAGCTGGGCAATACAGCAAGATCTCTTCTCTACAAAAATTAGTTGGGCATCATGGTGTTACACACCTATAGACCTAGCTACCTGCCAGGCGGGGGGGGGGGGGGGAGTCAGGTGGGCTGAAGTTGGAGGATTGCCTGAGCCCAGAAGGTCGAGGCTGTGGTGAGCCAAGACCGTGCCACTGCACACCAGCCAGAGTGACAGAATAAGACTTTGACTTAAAAAAAAAAATTCATGGTAGTGCGTGCCTGTAGCTCCAGCCACTTGGAAGGCTGAGGCGGAAGGATCGCCTGAGCCCAACAGGTCGACACTGGGGTGACCGTGAGCATGCCACTGCACTCCAGCCTGGGCAACGGAATGATGAGATTTCAACTCAAAAAAAAATTACTCAAGGAGTGAATCTTTTAGATTGTTCAAAACAGTTGAAACTGTAAAAATGAATTTTGCTAATGTCAAGGAACTATTGAATCTACAATAATTTTGGTCAAAACAGAATTAGTTGATAAACTATATTCATAAGTTATGTTATATGTGTATAATTATGGAAGAACCTCTTGTCAGATATTATGCTGAGCACAGGAAGTTTGTTAAGGGGATACTAACCTTTTGCATGGATCATTTGTTGAAGGGTCCTGAAGATGACACAAATTCAAAAATAAACAAAAAGAAAGGTTAACACAGCACATATAAATCCTCTTGAATATGTATATAAACTCTGTAGCTAACACCAGAACTTCATCTTGCATGCATTTTGATTTTTATAAATATATAAGCAATGAGTAGACTAGGAATTTTATTTCTGATAGTATACTGGTACTTCCCAGTGAAGAATCCCTAATGAAAGCACACACACAACCTAACTTTTTTAGATATAAAAAGATGCTAGTGATACAAACTATATTGAAATGGACTATTAATAATTTGCATGTGACACTATACATTTTCTGGAAACATTTTAAAAGGAAAAAAAAAAATCTCCTCTTGTAGAATACAGATCAACTGTGAAATGCTATAGATCATGTACATGATTGTTTTGTGGATTATAGGAATGAATGGCTTTACTCTTTGAAATAATAATGACTGGAGACCTTAGGTTTATTTCAAAATTAAAAGGGAAAGAATGGAGTTAAGGGAAAGAAAAATACCAAAATAATCTTAAAAAACAGATTTTGGCAATAAAAAGTAATAAAGTACTGATATACACTACAGCATGAATGAATCTTTAGAACATTTCAAAACATTATGCTAAATGAAAGCAGCCAGACACAAAAGACCACATATTACATAAGTCTGTTTATATGAAATGTTCAGAATAGGACAATCGATAGAGACAGAGAGTAGATCAGTGGTTGCCTAGGGCTGGGGTGAGGGGAGGAGTTGTGGGGAAATGGAAAATGATTGCTAACGAATATGGGGTTTCTTTCTGAGATGATGAAATTGTTCTAAAATAGACTGTACGGCTCTGTAAATATACTAAAAACCATTGACTTGTACATTTTAAATAGGTAAATTCTATGGTATGTTAATTGTATCTCAATAAAGCAGTTATTAAATTTTTTAAATCATTTAAGTAAATATCAAATAAGTTATTAACTATTAATTAGCTGTACAGGACAAATGGCCTGCTAACTTAATACCAGAGGAATAACCCATTAGCATGGGTTGCAGTTGCCCAAAATACCATATGTGCCAAATGCAGAAGTATATCAGGGTATGAACATAGAATAGTAACTCTACTTATCTATACATAGTTTTCAACAATCTCCAAGAATTTCTAGAAGCCATACATACTAGTCCAGATATACTTTAGAGCAGTCTGTGAAATGAATATTAAGTTCATATATCTAAAAGTCATGCAAATGAATACATGCCCCAAACCTGAAAGAAATTAGCTTATAGGCAAGCCAAACTTCAAATTAAAGGTTTTAAATAAACCACATTAACATATATTATACTTCTTTAAGACCTCAATGATCACTGTTAGCTGGGACATTTCCGTAAACGAATAGTAAAAATCTGACTAATGACAATGTGTTACAGGTCAATCTTTGAGATATACATCAAATGTCACTATCATACAAATTTGGAAGGTGGTAGTATGTGCATCAAATTAATTTATAATTCTGCTCTTTTTTTTCTTCTTCTTTTTTCCCTAGACTCTGCAGCAGAAGTTGCTCTTTTAAATAAATATGCCACTATAGTAGCCAAGAAATAATTGAATTCCATCAAGAAAATGTCCATGTTCTTTTATGTTCTATCCACATATATACCAATGATTTATAGAACCAAAAAAAGGGAGTTATATTTTAAAAGCTGGGATAATCTATAAGGCTTATAAAAGAGCATCACAGCATTTTATATATATATATATATACACAAAATTATATATATAATTAACTTATAATGATGCTTTATATATAATTTGTTATATATAATGATAAATATATAATTAATTTGTATATATTGTACATAATGATGCTAAATCTATAATTACATTAAAAGTCATATACTTCACATAAATGGATTCTCTAGATCTCAAAGCTTTTAACCTCTTTTACAAAAGCTTTGTATGTGTGCTAAGTAGAGTGAAACTTAGTGTAATCAATAACTCAGAAAAGAGAAAATCATAATATGCTAAAATTGTAAAGGTTTCTAATAAAAAATAAACAATTAAAAACACGTCTGGTGTTTTTTTCAACTAAGTACCACAAAGTGTCCCTGTTTTAAGATTAATCTATCACTGGGGGCAAAAAAGACCAACTTGTCTAACATGTTAGAGGAAAGAGAAGAGAAAGAAGCATATGCTCTCTTTAGGACACTGACAGTCAAGTAAATGCCCAACTATAGTGATCCCACTCTTAATCACCTACAGAATAATGAAAGAGATGTTTAAGGCTCAGTTCTTAGCAGCCAAGTCCCTCAGTCAAGTCTGGAAGCAAGCTAAGTAATGTATTTTTACACAAAAGTTCTATGAACACACAACCTTCCTTTACCACCATCCTTCCTCTATGCACAATCTTCATTTCCATGGCTAAGCACTGTGCTAAAACTAATGGATGCTTCAGTGAAATTTCTATAGCTTATAGCTGACTTTAATTTATTCCTTTGAGTATTCAGGCATATCTAGCTAGCTATGTTCATGCCCAGATTTTAATGCTTTCAACCTTTGGCATGGAAAGTAGTAATTGCAATACTATGATTTAGTTACAAGAGAGTAAATCAAATCCAAAGTTCTTCCAGCATAAGCCCTACCAAGCAATTCATATGCATGTTTCTTTTTTTCTTTTTCTTTTTTTTTTTTTGAGTTGGAGTCTCACTCTGTTGCCCAGACTGGAGTGCAGTGGCACGCTACCGGCCACCGCACCTTCGATTTGATGGGCTCTTGCGATCCTTCTGCCTCAGCCTTCCAAGTAGCTAGAACTACAGGCGTGCGCTACCACACCCAGCTAATTTTTTATTTATTGTAGAGATGAGAGCTCACTAAGTTGCCCGGGCGAATCTCGAACCTGAGGGGTCAGGCAATTCACTCACCTCGGCCTCCCAAAGCACGGGATTACAAACTGAGCCACCAAGCCTAGCCTGCATGTTTCTTTATTCGTCAAGAAGTTTACTCTGACTTTAGCTAAAAACTAATCGAAATTAACTATTTAAATAAAATTGATTCCTAAAGTTCAGGGTTCACTAAGCCTTTAATTCTCCATTAAAATGAATAAGTAAAGAAATATATGTATATACATGTAAACACTAACAATGGAGTAAACTTTTTATAAACTGCTCATAACTAAAATTATGTCTAATATCTTCAAGCTCAATGCTATAAATTAGTTTCTTCATTTATAAAGTGAAAAGCCCAGATCAAATAAAAGCAAATTCTGAAGTCATTTCAATTATCTCAACAAAATTTTCTGAGCCAAGGATATTTTAGCAAAACCTATGAAAGCAGTCTTCTAAAGGGTTGAGAAGAAAACACCATTCTCTCATGTCTAGGAAGACTGAAGGGTTACTACCACATGTAGACTTTTCTCTCTTCCACCAACCATAAAAAGGAGTGTTTTCCCAGATACTCTTCTGAGAGGCATTGAACCATAGATATCTGATATTAAGAGAATGATGAAAAAAACATTGCAACTGGCAACACATGGAAGGGAATTTGGGGGTCACTGGGAGTGGTGGCTTGTGCCTGTAATCCCAGCACTTTGGGAAGCTAAAATGGGAGGTTTGCTTGAGAACAGGAGTTTGAGACCAGCCTAAACAACATAGTTAGACCCTGTCTCCCCAAAAAGTTAAAAAATTAGCATGGTATAGTGGCATGTGCCTGTGGTCCCAGCTATTTGGGAAGTTGAGGCAGGAGGATCCCTTCAGCCCAGGAGTTCAAGGCTGAGAGAGCTATGATTGCACCACTGTCATCCAGCCTGAGTAATAGAGCAAGATTTTGTCTCTTAAAAAAAAAGAAAAGAAAAGAAAAAGAAGGAATTTGGGGATCTGGAGGGGTGGATTTCACTATGAGCTTTGTTTATGAGAAAACATGATAGAAAAGCACACACTTAACCGGGCTTGGTGGCTCAGTCTGTAATCCCGCACCTTTGGGAGGCTGAGGTGAGTGGATTGCCTGAGCCTGCGGGTTTGAGACCTGCCTGGGCAACTTGGCGAGGCCTCATCTCTACAATAAATCAAAAAATCAGCCAGGCATGGTAACGCATGCCTGTAATTCTGGCTACTCGGAAGGCTGAGGTGGAAGGATTGCTGGAGCCCAGCAGGTCGAGGCTGCGGTGGCCGGGAGCGGCCACTGCACTCCAGTCTGGGCGACAGAGTGAGACTCCAACTCAAAAAAAAAAAGAAAAGAAAAGCACACACTTAACAAATGTGGTATATACCATCAGGAGAACATAAATGTAGCAAAGAATGAGTCAGATTATGATTGTGAAGCATTAAAACATATAGGGCATTGTAAGTATACCTTCAGCCCATATAGTTTATATTTAGGCTTTCAAAGCATTAAATAAAAAGGCTTAAATAGCTGGGCTCGGTGGCTCAGCCTGTAATCCCGTGCATTTGGGAGGCTGAGGTGAGTGGATTGCCTGAGCCCGCGGGTTCGAGACACGCCTGGGCAGCGAGATCTCATCTCTACAATAAATCAAAAAATCAGCAGGGCGTGGTAGCGTGCGCCTGTAATTCCGGCTACTCGGAAGGCTGAGGCGGAAGGATCGCCGGAGCCCAGCAGGTCAAGGCTGCGGTGGCCGGGAGCGGCGACTGTACTCCAGTCTGGGCGACAGAGTGAGACTCCAACCCAAAAAAAAAAAAAGGCTTAAATAAAAGGCAAACATAAAGTATAGAAGGATCTTATGCTTTACTTCCTCAATTGCTATTCTAAGAGGATTCTGTATTTTAAAATTGGAGAAAGTGGATTTTAAGATACAGGACAACTTCAGCAAATTTAATCAACATTTGGGTGGTCTGGTCGAGTTTCTGCAGCTTTTTATTGAGAACATTTTAGTATCTCTGTGGCTTTTGAAAAACTTTTGAAAAACAACTTGGGAACTCTTGGCTTTAAACACTACTGGAAAGGATTTTCCCCCATAATACCATGGAACTTATTAGAGCATGAGCTACCACTATATGAATTTTAATATTA